TGTGTCATCCTCTTAAGGCCCCAATAATAAAACCAAATCATGAGTTAAGTGTTAATTTTCTTAGCAACTTGAAAAGGTTAAGATCACTTCTATTATATTCCAGATCTTTATATTCCAAAGGTCTAATAAACACCAACAGAAACACACACAAGAAAAACACAAATCAACAGTTAACTTTGAAGATATGTTGTGCATGGCACAGCACCCACAAACACACACCAAAGCACCTGATTAGACTCAGGACATGCATGGAATAATTGTGCTTACCAGCTTGAGAGAAAGCTTCATGTAAAAATTGAAGAGGTAACAGGGGAAAGAGAAAGAGAGAGAGAGAGAAAAAACAACATCACATCAGAAGAAGAGGAACTCGGTCAGTTCCACTGTATTAACATAACATATAAATTCACCTGTTGATTTGTGAAAATGGCTTGCAGCGGATCTGTGCAAAAGTTCACAAGAGGGGCTGATCCCTAATGAAATTTTTCGTAGGCTGCCACATTGCCAGAGCAAAGACAAGGACAGAAAAGGAGAGTTTTATTACAGTTCTGTATTGTTCCCCTCAGCCTAGATGTCAACTAAAGCGAGCTTGTAGTCGGAGGCATGTAATGACCACGGAAGACAAAAATAATCACACGCCCTTTGTTCACCAAGTTTTGCATGGAAAGTTTTACAAAGACTTCAAAAAGTCTAAACACCAATTACTTCCACAACATGCAAGTAATATTTTTATCTTAAGAAGCTCTAATCAATATGAACACTGGCATTTCTTAAAGGCATTAGGGCAAACTCTGAAATTGGTGAATGGTAACCAAGGACTAGAAGTTGCTCTAAGAAACTACCTGCAGGAGGCAGGAGGCAGGAGGCAGGAGGTCCCTCGGTGCCCAGCTGGGGGCAGAAGGCCGATGCTTTGTCCAACCTGAGCAACAAGAGCCTGCCTGCTCGGTGGGGGGCGTCTCAAGGCCAAGGCTTTCTATTGTACTCTGAGCCCTACCCACAGGGGTTACATGGCATTTGAAGAATTATCAAGAGTTGCTGCTCTTGAAAGTTACCAGTAGGAAATAGGTAGCCAACTGTCTCAACCACCAGGGAGTGCTCCTTGCTATGGATTACCTGATAACCATCAGGCCACAGCAGCTGCAATCCTGCTGGGCGTGGAGGTGAGAAAGGCATGGTGATTACTGGACCTAAAACAGATTAACAGGCATCTCAAAATTAGAAAAAGAAACACTTGGTTTTTCATCAATAGGTGAGACCTGCTCTGTGGCTATAAAGCAGGATTCTGAGAGTTCGGTGCATATTTATTTAGCTGCTACCAATCCTAAAAGTTCAGGCAACTGGTAATAGGATCCAAAAATATTTTGGAGACAAAATACCAAAGAAAGTGCCCTTCGATTTTAAATTGGAGGGGGAGGTTTAAAAATTCCTTAAGCAGATTTAAAAAATTGAATTCTTAGCTTAAGATTGATTCAAAGTTGACACTTCTTTGTAAATAGGCAACAACCTTTCAAAGAAATTGTCCCTATGAGGAAAAAAGAGACTTTT